GGTCATGTTGTACACTCCTTTTTATATACTTCTGGATTTGGCTTGCAAGCATTTCTTGAGGACTTGTGTCTGTGTCCATAAGGTATGTTGATCTATAGTTTTCTTGTGATGGCTTTTTCTTGTTTTGTTAACAGGGTAATACTGACCTCATAAAGTGAGTTGGAAAGTTGTAGTAAATATCTTGCATGTGATCTTTCCAGTCTTTTGGGTTATTCTCTCAGGATTGATTCCCAGAAAGCATGTACATTTATAACGTACTTGATAAGTATTGCACAAACATTTTCCAAAAAGTCAAATCGTGTTTATTTATTGTTAGAGATTAACATTACTTCTTTCCAGAATAATGGTCTCTGAGAAATTCTTCTTCTTTACTCTTTCAGGTATTTAAAAGATTCTCTGAAAGGCAGAGCCAGGCTCAGCCTTCCACAACGCATCTTATTTTATGTCTGTGCCTGGCAGAGCAGCTCCAGAGGAGCTAAGAGTCAGCCTTTTGCCCAGCAAATTGTTATTGAGCGCTTCCTGCCTGGAACAGGGTTTCTCAGCCTCAGCACTCTTTTGGGCTGGATAATTTGTTGTAGGGAACTGTCCTGTCCATTAGCGGATGGTTAGCAGCATCCCTGGCTTCTCCCCACTAGATACCAGTAGCATCTCACCCTTCTCCCCCAAGTCGTGACAAACAAAAATGTCTCCAGATACAGTCAGATGTCCCCTGGTGGGTAAAATTGTCCTTGGTTAAGAAGCGCTGGTCTAAAACTGATATGTGCTGGATTTCATATTGCTGTCTGATAAAATTGCCTCTTAACTTTGAATTTGAATCTTCACTGTATATTTGGCTTTGGATCCACTTTTGTCTCAATGTGTGTCACGACATGCTGATGACTTTGAAATCTCTATCTTTTTCCTTGTTTCCTCTCTGAATTCCCAGACCTTTATGTACAACTGCCTGCCTGGGTGTTCTGCAAACATCTTGAGATTGGTTTGTTCAAAATCAGACGTATTCTCTTCTGCCCGCCCCCTGCCCCAGACTGCTTTTCCTCCTTTATTCTTGGTCTCCCAGGTCAGGACTTACTGGTTCTCAGCTCCTCTCTCTCTATGTCTCTTGTGAGATTCAGCTCCTGAATCTGAATTCGGGCTCCTCTGTCCCAAGCACCCCTTTCATAGTTGGTGGGTTCATCTGACCTGCTTGCTGCGGAAGTCCTTACCTTCCAACTCGTTCCTTCCACCGCTACCTTTAAAGTGCCCTTTCCGATATGCAGGTCTAATCATGTCACTGCCCAAGCACCTGGAGCCCTCATGATCTGGGCTTGCTGCCTCTCCACCTCATCCCCCAGCCCCTTGTACCTTAGGCCCTGGGCATACCGAACTGCTCTCAGGCCCCTCCCCCACCTCCTTGCCTGACATTCGTACTTCAGGCTGCGGTTCAGATTGTCTCCCCTCTGGCCCTTCCACTCAGAGCAGTCACTCCCTTCTCCCACTACGCCTGGAGAGACCCGGGTCTTCACCCACCCGATGCACTGCAGGAATTGGTTCGTGTACTGTCTCCTGACTGAACAGTGATGCCTTGAGAACAGGGACCACAGCTTATTTTTCTCTGCCCACTCACCAGTGCCTGACATGAAGTGGGCCCTCTGTAAGTGTGTGTTGACTATCAAATGGAAATACGTAGAGTAGAAGGAAGCTAGCTGGGATTTAAAGTAACTGTGAGGACTTTTGTGTCATTTCTTAGTTCAGTGAACATTTACGTAGAGCCACCCGGGTCATGGGTGCTACGAATAGAAAAAAGAACAAGGCAAGTTCTTTGCCTTAAAGAACTCACCTCACGTCTAATGCGAGACGGGAGTACAAACAGTTCAATTCAGAGTGATAGGTGCGAGCATAATCCGTGAAGTGGATATTGAGAGAGAACTACGTTTGCATTTGGGGAAGACACACTCCCCACCCCTGAAATAAACGTCTTGAAAACACGAAAAGATACCATTTCTTGTTACCCTTAATCCTTTCTGTATTTGCTCTACTTCTATTTATTGTGACTTTTTAAGAATGACTTTGACTTGATCTCACTTAGTAAATGAGTGGTTGTTGTCAACCCCGCTGTCCTATAGCAGTGCCTGAACCTGTGCTTGTGTGAGCTGGTGGTTTAGACATAGTCTCGCTGGCTCACCTGTTACTTCATGGTTGAGTGTGTCCTGATCGTGCAGCCCCGTCTGGAGGATAATGGTGCCGGCAGGCCGTGGTCCTGCCTCCTAATGGGGGAGCTGAAGCCTTTGATTCAGCATCACGTGACCTTCGCTGTATTCCTGCATTATTTCATAATTCAAGCAAACTGGAATCCTGTGTGCAGAATATGCAATGCAAAGAAACTTTTTTCTTTTTGTAGAGTTGGTAATAGTAATAATGATCTTTACGTGAATATGGCCTATTTTTCTACCAGTTTTCTTAACACTGGCCATACATATTTCCCTTCCTAGTCACAGTGCCTTTTAGCTTGTAACTTAACTAGGTAATAAATACAACTTTATTCTTAAATAAATATTAAGATAATTGATCCATAGAGAAATCCATGCATGTGATATTCAGGAGCCGTTAAAGTGGTTGCTTAGGAAAATGAATGAAATCATTATATTATTGGACAGGGGTGGGGATAGTGATATTCTTTACAGAGAAGGGAAATATACATAGGAAAAGCAGACTGGGATGAACTTGGAACCTCTTGAGTTGCTGAGTCTGTGAAAATAGACGTGAGGTGCTGGCATAAGAACTTGACGCTCAGGAAGGATGCTCGGGATTGGAGGTGAGCCTGTGTTGGCAGATGAGACGGTGTTAAGTCTGGAAGAAGAGCATCTAGCACAGAACAGTGGAAAACACAGGATGGGTGACCTAAGAAAAACTGGAAAAGGATGGATTTGACAAGAAGAGAACCAAGAGAAAGATATCCCAGAAGCCAGTGGAAGAGTGAAACTTCGTGATGTCACTTGTTGCAGGAACAAGGGCTAAGAAGAGACCACTAACTTTGGCACATGGGTGATCATTGGTTAATACCTGAGCAAGAGCTTTTCAGCAGAAAGATGAAGCTGGAGGAGGCCTGACTGCAGCGGCTTGAGGAGTGATTGGGAAGCAAGGAAGTGGAGTGTGTGCATGTAGACCACACCCTCAGACTGTTTCTGTGCCTTTTGGCCTAGAGATGGAGCACATACAAGTGAAAAACCCGAGCATGTTTATAAGCTGAAATGAGGGGGGAGGTTGATGAAACGTATATGGGAACAGACGTCTGCGGAGTCTGAGAAGGAATGAGGTCAGCTGCCAGGCGGGATGGGTTTGCCAGGAAAAGGTGCAGGGATGCTTTCTCCAAGGGGGAAGACGCTAAGAATTAATAAAGGCAGATATTCGTGGAGGGGTTGGGAGAGAAATTGGGTATTCGTGTCTGGTAACACCCCCCTGTGAGGTGGGGAGCTCTGCTGTCTACTAAAGGTGACTGGAAGGAAGTGGGAAGGGTTTTAGGAGAGTGTAAACACCCAGGATTATCGAGAGTGAATCAGACTAAGCATAAATAAAATTAGGTCAATTTATAATGTCCCGGCAGAGGATGAAAATGAGACGTTTATGGTGGCTCTAAGTCTGCATGGCTGTATAGTTTCCTTCAGTAGTGCTTATTAATTCTGGCACAGGACTGGAGAACAGCTGGTTAAACTAATCTGGGCTGTGGAATGGCCTAGTGCAGGAAGCAGACTGACTCTGAAGCCAGCAAATCAAGGACTTTGTTACAGAATTGGTGAAATGTTTGGTTACCTGCGTATTATACTCACTGAATTTCTCTTCCTTTTCTTTGTATCATATTAGCCCCAACTCATAATCATAGGTTGACACAGAAGTAGTTGAATAAATGCTGAAATCTGAAACGTGGGTCTAGACTTCTGGCGCTCTGTTTGATGTTATGGTATTTGAATGTAGTTTTAAAATCTATTCGGTGAGCTGTCATCCTTGTCTCTAATGAGTGGGAAAAACTCACCAGGTGTTGGGAATGCATGAAACTCACAGCACCTGGTCCATGTACCACAGTTGAGTCTTTTTTTTTTTAAAGTGCTATATAATTTTTTATTTACTCTTTTTTTTATTAATGTTATGATAGATTACAACCTTGTGAGATTTCAGTTGTACATTTTTGTTAGTCATGTTGTGGGTACACCACTTCCCCCTTTGTGCCCTCCCCCCACCCCCCCTTTTCCCTGGTAACCACCGATCAGATCACAGTTGAGTCTTTTTTAAGAACTCCTAATGTGATTCCTAGTGTTAAAACTGGTAATGTTTTGATGATTGTGATAGATTTAGTCTATACGAGATAAAACTTTAAAAAACCACTTGGAAAGTTATTAGAATGTCACTGTCATTAAGTGGTTTTATCTCATTCCTTATTTCAAAACATCATGTGCACATCTGTCCCTTTAACAGCAAGGGGACTTCAGGAAGTTAAAACACCCTTTATTAAGCACATTGAGAAGTCATGCACATTGGCCCTGTTTGTGTTCACGTTTTTGGCTGTTCAGACTATATAGGAGAAAGTTTTCACTGTCATCGCTATTCTCTATGAATAAGAATGTGTGTGGATTGAAAGAAAAATAATTATATGCCCTGGTGTTACCTAGTAAGGCAGAGAAAGAAGAAGAACTTGAGAGTTCTCATGCCAGGCTCAAACTGTCACCCTAAAGTAATTGTGAGAGTGTCGGCACCTCACATGGTGGCCCAGGGAATGGAGGTTAACATGTTTTCGGTCCAGGTGTCAGCTGTAAAGTAAGAGAACTGAAGCCGGAGAGGTGGCTACAGAAGTGTTGGATTTTGTCGGTGTCTCCTTTGCAGGGGTGGCTTGGTGTGGTGGCTTTGATGATAACCCAGGTTGGGCCATCCTTTTGCCTTGTTCTGAGCATGAAGGAACTATCAAGAAGCAAACAGAAGAGAAAAGCACATGCGCACACGTTTGTATGTAATTTTCTTTTTTTCTCTTTTAGGAGCAGAAATGAGTGAAAGCAACTGGCAGAGTAGAAGACATGAGAGAAGGAACCACCGGCAGTACCCTTGGTTCAGGCAACATGGTTCTAATAGGCAAGTGCTGTTGCCCAGTGCAACAATGTTCTTCCATTTTCCAGCACCTTGCGTCCGTGTGACTCACTGGGGGTCTCATCAAAATGCAGGGTCTGAGGTGAGGTCCGATGAGAGCCTGCATTCCTAACAAGATCCCAGGAGTGTTGCTGCTGCAGGTCAGCCTGCCTGCCACACTTTGGGTAATGAGATGATGGCCACACTCTTGTTCCTTTTCAGAGTGACCATGACTTCTGGCCGGAGCGTTAGGCATAGGCTTAGAACTAGACATCATCTAATGTAACTGGAGAGCTGTTTGTCCACTTTGTAGACTTTTTTTTCCTCTCTCTCTTTTTTGTCTTTTCTTCCAGCCAATGAAAATAGGTTTCTGGCAACCTAATTTCATTAATTCAGCCCAAGTCCTCACAAAGGCTCTCTATATAATACAGTATTTACGAAACACAAAAAAGGTATAAAAGAATAGTGAAATGAACACCATGTCACCACTGCCTCACTTAAAAAATAAAACGTAGTCTATACTTAGTTGAAGTCCCCAGTATAAACATTTTCCATGCTCTAGTAGTTTTTCTGCGTGAAGGATATGCAGTCCAGTCTCACAACGAGACCCCACTGCACCACCCGCCGGGAGACGGCACCTCTTCGTGGTTCAGGGTGCCGGCACGGCCTCTGGCCAGAAGTCTTCACGCAGCTTCTCCTCACCAAAGGAGACCCATAGGCCAATTGCCACACTCCAGGCCTCCTCGTGAAATGGACAGAATTCAGGGCCGGCCCCATGGCCAAGTGGTTGGGTTTGCGTGCTCTGCTTCAGTGGCCCAGGGTTTCACTGGTTCGGATCCTGGGCGTGGACATGGCGCCACTCGTCAGGCCATGCTGAGGCGGCATCCCACATGCCACAACCAGAGGTACTCACACCCAGAATACACATCTATGAACTGGGGGGCTTTGGGGAGAAGAAGGAAAAATAAATAAATAAAAATCTTTTTAAAAAAATGGACAGAATTCTAATTCTGTCAGACGTCAGAAGACGTCAAATACCAAGATGTTTCTCTAGAACAGGTTAACCTGAACAGTAACAGAAAGCATCAAAATGTTGTGGAAAGAACAAGGGCTTTGGAATTAGGAGGTCTGGGTTTGACACACTGCTTTTTTCTGTGTGAAAGTGGGCAAGTTACTTAATCACTCTTGAGTCCCTCTTCTGGTACAAAACACAGCTGGTGCTTCTCTTGTTAGGTTCGCAATCACACATGTAAAGCCCCTCACAGGCTGCCTGGTCCTGAGCGGGCCCTCCGTGCATGGTGGACCTCAGCAGGTGCAGAATCGAATCTCTTACTCTAAGCCACGAGCCCAGACTTGACCCGTATTGTAGAAAGGTCAGGACAGGGCCCAATGTTTGTATGTTTTGTGAGGAGAACCATGGATACTTTCTGGGCCCCAGGCCTTCCCCTGAGGGTACAACCTGTAGCAAAATGTGATCTGAGAAGAGTCTCAGCTCAGCTTTGGCAGAGTCACATGGAAACATGCTGGACAGCCACCCTCTGGGCTCTGGAAAGAACGGAGTTGCAGTCCTTGGGCTAGAAACGTAGATGTTTGCCATGACATGTAATCCTGCCTCCTCGTGCAGCTGATCACACATGAGCTGCCTCAGGAAGCTCTGGGCCATAAAGAGGAGAGTGAATAATTTTCTCTGAAACCATACATAGTATTTTTTTTTTTTTTAAAGATTTCATTTTTTCCTTTTTCTCCCCAAAGCCCCCCGGTACATAGTTGTATATTCTTCGTTGTGGGTCCTTCTAGTTGTGGCATGTGGGATGCTGCCTCAGCGTGGTCTGATGAGCAGTGCCATGTCTGCGCCCAGGATTCGAACCAACGAAACACTGGGCCGCCTGCAGCGGAGCGCGCGAACTTAACCACTCGGCCACGGGGCCAGCCCCCATACATAGTATTTATAGAGAAAAGAGAGTTCTTTTATTCCTTCAACCTAGTTTTGCAGTTTGTGTTCCTTTTGCTGGGGTGGGGAGGGGAACTTCTTGATTTTCAAGTAGATTTTATCCGGATTCTAAGTTACCTCTTTTGCTCTATCATTGTACCCTTCAGGCTGTCACTGCCCCAGAAGCTTCTTGAGCTTTGCAAATCAAGTGTTTAAATAGTGTCTCTATCCCAGCGTTACTGAGCAGATCGCCTCTCTGCCCTGAGCCCCACTTTCTCCATCTGTAAGGTGGGGCAGCCAAGGAGAATTTAAACTTTTGGTACTGGTGAATCCAGTGAAATTCACCTGGCCTTGTAACTGCTGTTCAGCTGACAGATGAGCCCAGATGGTAAATTCTCATTGGCAAAGATTTCTGTTCTCCTTTTCACCTGGAAAATTCCAACAGACCTCACAGAATGCTTAAGTGAGGAGATAAGAAAAGAGAATTACCGTGACTTCCATCCTCTTTTAAAAAAAAAAGAACGAGAAACCGAGACCTTGCCCTAACTTTGATGTATTTGCAGTAGGTAAACTGCTTTCAAGGAAAAGAGGAGTCAGTGCTCCCCAATTAATCAGAAGGGTCAGAGGGTCGGGGTGGAGGCTGCGGAACTGCCTGAGCTGCTTCCTGCAGACCCCACAGTCAGAGTGGCTGGAACGCAAGCCCTTCACTGCAAGTTACCCTGACTGTCAGCAGGTGTAACACGAGGCCACAGCAACGCCTGCAGGATTCCGGCCACGGCGATGACGAGGCCCCGTCGACTTCATCCAGCACAGCTGGCAGTTCTTCCGTGCCAGGTAAGCAGTCTGCTGGATAGGACTCCTCCAGCCCTGCCCGTGGGGAAAGATGAAACCTTGTCCTGCCCCGTCATCGGGTTATGTCTGCTCTGGCTGCCCTTTTTCCTCAGCCCTCTGTGTCACTTGCATATGGGTGCACTCTTTGTGTCAGCAGCCCATTTCTGCCTTGGAAGAAATTCTGGGAGCAAGTTGAACACGAACAGGAGGACCTGGGTGTATCAGGAATGGCGATCCTGAGGCACCAGAGCCTGAGGGGTGATTTGGCTCCCCCAGGACTGCCCTGGGTCCAGGATGGTGGGCAGTGCTGGCCCACCTCTTGCCCCTCAGAAAAGACAGGCAGCTGTGAGGGGTGGTGGACAGGCCACTGGCCTCCTTACCAGGTGGGTCAGTTCACGGTGTTAAGTTGAAGTGGATTTTATTTCTTGTGATTAAAGACCTACCAGGGTATTACTTTGACCCGGAAAAGAATCGCTACTTCCGCTTGCTCCCTGGACATAACAACTGCAACCCACTCACAAAGGAGGGCCTCCGGCACAAGGAGATGGAGAGCAAAAGGCTGCAGCTGCTGGAGGAGGAAGACAAGCAGAGAAAGGTGGGCTCCACACTCGTAGGGGCCGCCCTGTCCCCTCCACTCCTGCCAGCTTCTGCCCACTGCTGACAGGTGGCTGTTAGATGCCCTATGACTCTTAGCACGTGCACCTGAGGGAGTGTGGTGTCGAATTGTCTGTGGCAGGCACCTGATGAAGAGAATAAGAACGGGCGAGAAATCCCCTCCTCCCTCCCCCCTTTCCTTATTTGCTGTTTCATCAGTAATTCTAACATTTCGTCCTTCCCGGAGGAATCTTGGGAAGCAGCATGATACAGTTTCAGTAACTGTATTTTCAGTAGAAAACCTGGGTGTGTGGTTTGAACCTGAGGGTTCCTTATATCCCTTCTGGGGATTAGATGCCAGGACATTGTGATGGTTATGGGCACCACAGAACGGAAAATCCAAGCCCCAGGGTCAGCACAGGTGGAATGGAAAGCGTGATGCGGACCTGAATGTCCAGTGCCATCCTGCACTCACTAGCTCAGTGGCTTCATCTTCCCAGGCACAGATCACAGCGGGGCTTGCACAGCGGCGCTGAGCATACTTCCCAGCTCACACCTGCCTTCTTGGGATGGGCTCTTCCTCTGCCAGGGAGAGGAGCAAAGGAGACGGTTGGAGTTTTAATGCATATAATTTCTGCCGACTTAATACCCGTTTCTTCTAAAAACATTCTCCATTGTCCTATAACATAAAACTTCATTGAATCTATCTTTTTTCTTTTCTTTTCTTTTCTTTTTTTTTTTTTTAGAAAATAGCCAGGATGGGATGTAATGCATCTTCCTTGCTACAAAAAAACAAGCTGGGTTTTCTCAATGTCACCAGTTATTGCCGGTAAGACTATGCCTCATTACGTTTTCTTCTTGGATATTCTTATCCTATTGTTTCTGTGGTCCGAGAATCTACTCAGGATAGACCTCGTAGCTTCTCTGTGAGGTGTCTTCACGATCAAGGGGCTCTAGCTCACAGCTTGCCTTCTGCTACTAAAACTAGCCCTGAGAGAACCATTCTCCCTCCAGAACAAGGAGAGAAACTCCTGCAGGAGGCCAGAACAGGGGGCATCTAGGCAGAGGAATTGGGCAGAAATTTCCTAAGATGTTCTCTCTGTGTTACTCTTAAATCATTTTTCGTTTAGTAGAAGGTCCTATAACTTCATTCCTGTGAGACTTCTGCCTCCTTTTCCCTTTCTGATAAGTTGTCACCAAAAATGGAGCGTTAAATGGATGTATGTGAACTAAACATTATCTGCATACTTGTGATATCTGATGTAACTAAAACCTGTGAGATAGGCTGATACTCCCCCCAGTTTCCAGAAGAAGAGACTGAGGCTCCAAGTGGAGTGGTCTCTTCAAGGTAAAGCTAGAAAGGGCAGGATCTGTCTGACTAATGCCTAAGCTCCTAACCCCAGCATTCTGCTCCCTCCCGCAGTGCGTGGACAGGTGAAGAAACAACATGAGTTTGGGTGGCTTATAGGGAGCACAGCTCTCATCTTGGGGCAGGGCCCCCTTTAGGGAAGGCCAGCCGTGCAGGAGATATTAGCCGGGGCAGGTGGTGCATGCCTCTCCTGTATTTCCCTCCTCCTGAGAGGGAAAAGCATTAAGGGAGGTATAGGAAGATACGTTCTTCACCCTAAAACGTATTTTGTTCTTAGTGGAGAGGTAGCTGGGACGCAGGAGAGGGAAGGGGCAGTAAGATGGGCGACTGCATCCCTGGGCTCTTTGTTAGCTCCCTGTCCTTGAGGACGTTGCTTCATTTCTCAGGCACGTTCTCTTCGTCTCAAGAGAAGGAGCGGTACTAGATGGTCCAAAAATAAATCCTTTCCGTTCTAACTCTCTGACCCAGTCAATGGGCCACCTGTTTCTTTGCCTTAGTTTTCCTAAGAGTTCTAAAATTGAGATTATTGGGGATCTTGCTCAACTCCATTGATATGGAGAGGCTGAGCAGGGGCCATGGTCTTCAGGGTGTGGGATAGGGCAGAGCCCGAGTCGTCCTCACGGATACCGAGGTGTGGCGTCCATGCCCTCCCTGCCCCCCTTTTCCCCTCTGCAGTTTAGCCCATGAGCTGCGACTGAGCTGCATGCAGAGGCAAAAAGTCCAAATTCAGAGCTCGGATCCCTCCGCTTTGGCAAGTGACCGATTTAACCTCATACTGGTGAGTGGGAGGGAGCTCTCTGTGGGTGCCAGGGGTATGGCTGCCATCCCCTGACACTTCGTGGCTTAGCATTGGTTTTCATCAAGCCTAGCTGTGTAGAAGCCAGTTGCCATGAAAACAGATGGCATCCTCTTGGTTTTTTCATTTTAACAAGCACCTACCAGCTAGCCGTTGGCAGATGCTAAGCTGGCAGGGCAGGCTGTGCTGTGACCATCGTCACCCCCACTGCAGCTCTGTCATTTGACATGAGAGCCTGGGCCTACCACATATTGACTAAGAACCATCACAGTGACTTTCCCTGGGATGTGTTGTGTACACAACTGAAAAGGTACACATTGGACCAAGGTACACAGTGGACCACGGACTTCTCGTCCTTCTTATACTGGGGCAGCATGTGGTGGCTAAACCTGAAGCTCCAGTGTTCTCCAGTGGCAACGGCATATTACTCCCTTGTTTGCTGTGCCTGACCTGAGTAGCAGGGGCCTGCGGGCCACTGTCCCTCGGCCTGCGCATCCAGCACACCTCCACCACACCATTTGCAGGGAGCAGAAAGCCTTCTCTGCTTTTGGTTAGACCTGAGCTGGAAGCCAGGGCCAACTACATGAGCCCAGGGGCCAGGGAACTGTTGGCAGAGAACCAGAGGGTCCACTGCAAACAGGAGGAGCCAGACCGCTGAGCTCGAGTGAGAACTCAAGGCCACAGGGAGCCTTGTGGCCTGCCCTGCTAGCCCTGTCCTTCCTGGAAGCCAAGGGAAAGCCAAGGAGAGTGAAAGGACACGAAATTCCTTGTGATCTCCTGACAGGCCTGGAGGCTGCAGCCACAGGATTGACCTTTGAGGTCTTGCCCCAGGAGACCTCAACAGCAGAGCCTTTCCACATTAGGGGTGTTGGGGGCCAAGACTCACATTGTCTCTCCTGTGGCTTTAACCCCCCCCCACTGTGTTTGGGGGTACAATTTGACCTGAATCAGTAGAATACTTTCTTGCAGTGGGCTCCCCTCAGGAGCCCCTTCCTTGGGGCTCTTGGGTAAACTGGCTGGAGTGTGCGTGCTGCTTAACAGAGCCTGAGCTCCCCCAGTCCTCCTGCCTCGTCTTGCACAAGCTGCGGGCTGGCCCTTGGAAGATCTTCCCCAGCACCCAGAGTTACAGGTGACTAGTTGGCCACTGTGACGAGAGGATGGGCCTGGGCAGTTTGCCACCCAGAGACCAGTTTTTCAGATCTGAGTCTAGTCCCTGGTAAGGATTCTTCAAGACCATAACCGTTCTTCCCGAGTACACCTGCGGAGTGAGTGCAGTTTCGCCAGACTCCAAACCCACTTGTGTTTTGTGTTATATTTATAAATACACATAAAATACAAAATAGAGTGTTTGCTTTGAAGTAATTATTAACCACCTTCTTTTAATTAAAAAAATCTTAAAAATAACCCACACCCCGATGCAGTCTTCTCTCTCATCATTTTTTGTCAGTGCAATGTCTTTTTTTTTTACCTGGTGGTAATCATAGTGTGTGGGTGACAGGAGGACAATTTTGTATCCTTGTTTTTATTACTTTCTGGCTAGAACTAGCATTTCCCACATTGCTGTGTGGCTTTCATGGTGGCCACCTGCTCTGTCACCATGTGGCTCATCTGAACAGTTTCTCTGGATGGACATTAGGACTCTGCCAAACAGCGAGTGGGGTCACTGTGGACTGCAGACTTCCTGGCAGGGCCCCTCACTGCTGTCCTCGTCCCTGCTCCTGTGTTGTGAGACAGACGCCTCTTAGCTTTGCCCAGCGATGGCTGTGCTGAGTAGTGACAAGTTAGGTCATCTCCATGCTCCCTCATGGACGGGAGCTCTCACCAGGTGAAAACACACAGGGCACGGGGGCCAGGAGAGATGGGCAGATGGTCTTAGGCAGCCTGCTTGGCTCAGCCTGCAAGGTGACCTACAGTCCGTTTTCGCCCTCCAGGCGGATACCAACAGTGACCGGCTCTTCACAGTGAATGATGTCAAAGTCGGTGGGTCCAAGTACGGCATCATCAGCCTGCGCGGTCTGAGACCCCCCACGTTCAGGGTGCATATGCATGAAAACCTCTACTTCACCAACCGGAAGGTACGTTGCTCTTCCGTTGTGCCTTGGAACCCCCTTTGCCTTTGGATCCAGGGGCACTGCAGGAGTTGGCCAAATTGAGAGAAGAGGAGAGAACTTGGTGAAGAAGGCAGGGTGCGGTTACCTCATTTTCCCCAGGGAAAAATAGAGTTTTAGGTCCCGCAAACCCAGAGGGGAAGAAAGGGCCTCAGGAGTTTCTTATTTTGGTAGAGAAATGGCTTTAGATGGGGGAAGGCTTGAAGCAGTGTTTTTAACTGGTCATGAGGACCTTCCTTCCAGGAGGGTCGAGTCGATCCAGGGCAGCCCACCCACGCACGGAGTCCCTAGAAGTGTGCTGACAGCTTGGGTGGAAGGGCCTCCCACTGTGTCAGGACGATGCATTGGTCACTCAGCCAGTCTGTAGCTGACACTGAGGTTTACGTAAGTATAAGGAGCGTGCTGTCTAGGGGGTACCCTTTAAATTGCGGTGGGGTGACGGTTGCATCTATGAGGAGCTGTGACTTTCTGTTCTCTTGGGACATGAGCCACAAGGTGGATACAGGTTGAAAGTAGATTCTGGGTGAAGTGAGGTACAGAATGCCTTCAGGGTTAGGATTGTCCCCTGCCATTGCAGAGAATTCATCCCCTGGGGGGTAGACGAGGTGTCTCACTATGAGGCCCATGCCACTGATGAAGGACTGGGCCTGGGGGTTACTTCCTCCCTGTCCCCTTGCAAGGCTCTGCATGGTAGTGCAGGGAGCTTCCCTGTTCTCAGATTGCTTGTTCTAGCCCCCTTTAAAGGAGCAAGATCTGAAGAAAAAAGTCACATGTCCACATCCCCACAAGTTATTCCACAAATAAGCTTTTGTCTGTTTCTCCCCATGAGTTGGCAGTCAGACCAATCTTTTCATCTTGCTGTGTGCTTCCTCACCAGGTGAACTCCGTGTGCTGGGCCTCACTGAATCACCTGGATTCCCATGTTCTGTATCTTTTGGCAGACGAAGAGGTTTGGTGGGCAGGTCACACCCTGAGGTTAAAACAGTATGGGAGCAGGCCTGGTGGTGCAGTAGTTAGGTTCGGCACACTCTGCTTTGGCAGCCTGGGTCCGCGGGTTCAGATCCCAGGCGCAGACCTACACCACTCAGCAAGCCAAGCAGTGTGGCATCCCACATACAAAATAGAGGAAGACTGGCACAGATGCAGATGTTAGCTCAACAACAATCATCCTCAAATAGAAGGAGCTAAGATTGGCAACAGATATTTGCTCAGGGCCAATATTCCTCACCAAGAAAAACCCCAAAAGAATAGTATGGCGTTTCTCCCGTTTCTGTGGGCAAAGGAGAGGGTGAACATCCGCACAGCTGGGTTTAAAGAGTGCCGTCTATTGTAGCTGGACGGCTTGCCCTCTGGTGGTCATTCCAGGTAATCGTCAGGCTTTTGTGCACCTGCTGCTGAAGTTCATGGGACATTCTCCCTTGACAAAAATGGCGCCTTGTTCAGACCTGCACTCTGCGTTTTTTCCCAAAGAGTGGTGGGGGTTAGACTGAATTCTTTCTACACTTTCTGGACTCTTCGTTAACCTGCAGCCTGTTAAAGGATTAGATCTACGATAAGGGGCCTGTAGGTATCATACAAAGTTTGTGTGTAACCTGGATGTCAGCCATGGTAACTGAAAGTGCACTTGCGTAAGGACTCTTCCCACATCCTCGCCCTTCAAGCCCGGAAGCAGAGGGAGTTTCTTTAGGAAGGAATTGAGCTGCCCAGCTGCAGTGTTCTCACTTAGAGTTTCAACAGCCTCTATACTAGAGATATTTAACAGGGGGCTTACCACCGGAGGCACTGTGACACGCACACATTACACATTCAGACCTTCAAGGATGTTGCCTGATTGCTTTGCAGAAATTTACATTTTTCCATGAGAGGTTGTGTGTGTTCATTCCCACAATGTGTATGTGTTTATTCCGCTCACATCTACTGAGCATATCCAATCCCTGTGGAAGGTGCTTGAAATGAGTGGCTCAACAGATAATCAGTCTGTGCAGTGATGCCTGTGGGGCAGTTGGGTGGAAAAGGGATGCAGGATTCGGGCCGCCTTCCTGGAGGTGGTTCCCACATGGGAAGGAGGGGATGAGCTCCCCTCAGAAAGAAGAGTCAGGAGAGAGCTTGGCACATTGGGCAGCAGTAAGGTGTTTGGTATCCATGATGCCTCTGGCTGGCTAGGTTGCAAGACTGAATCCTGGGGGCTGTGGCATGCCCTTGGAGGCTTGTGACTGTGGAGTCATTTCTTATATAGCAGTTTAGGTGATAGGCTGATGAGGGTGAGGCCTCAAGAAGACCGCAGTGAGACTAAAGAGGACAGTGGAGAGGGTGTGACCTGATGGGCAGGAGTGGAGGAGGGCACAAGTCTGAGAGGCTTAGGATCTAGGCCAGGGAATCTCGGTGCTAGGAGAAGGTCTGAGGATGGAACTCGAAGAGTGGTGTTGTGGAGGCCAAGAGGAATCATGTAGTTAGAAACTGTGCTCCATGGCCACGGGGCTAGACTGGAAAGTGTTCATCAGCTTTAGAAACTAAGGGCCCTTTGGACACCTTGATGGGAACATTTCAGTGGAAAAGTGACTGTCAGACCTGGGTTACAGTGGGTTGAAGAATGAAAGCAAGGCAAGTAAGTGGGGATAAACACAGGTTCCTCTTGAGAGAAGTGTGGCTGTGAAGGGACAGGGAGCAGAACCAAATCAATCGGAAGACAGACACCCAATACAAAAGTCGGCAAAGGATATAAAGAGGCAATTCAAAGAAAAGCAAACTCAATGACTTATAATCAGATGACGGTACATCCAGTTCTAATAGTCATGGGAATCCAAATTAAAATAATGAGATGTTATTTTATACCCATTCAGATAAGCACAAATTTTAAAAGTCTGACAGTGCCAAGTTTTGGCAAATGTAGAGAATGGGGAAAACTCTTGGTATGAATAAAGTAATTCAACCACTTGAAGTTGAAGATGCATGCAGCTTACATCCCCACAATTCCTCTTCAGCTTAGACACTAGAGCAGTGTTTTAAAACCACAAGTCTTGACTTATCAGGGGCCATTAAGTTAGTTTCTGAGTGGCCTTTTTTTTAATGAAGTAGACTAGAAAATACGTGTTTCATATTTAGTAAGGGTAAATATTTCATGAAACCTTTGTTTCAAATGTGTGTGTAGTGCATTGTAGTGTAAAGTTAAATTCTTACCATGGGTTTAAGAAACACTGCCTTGGAGCCTGCCGTCGTGGGAGGGAGACAACAAGAGATGCTCCTTCCAGCAGCAGAGCAAAAAAAAGAAAATTGAAAATAACCTCCATGCCCATCACCAGGAGAGTGGATAAGTTGTGATATATTCATACAGAGGAGTGCTTCATGGTGAAGATGCGAGAACTGGAGCTACAAACATCAACACAGATGAATCCAGGAGACATTGCAGACTGAAAAGTCGTGGAAGATGCCATTTACATCTGTTTTAAAAACATAAACAGTTCTTTATATTGCTCACAGACAAGTGCGTCATGGAAATAGTATAACATGGCCTAGAACTCAGACCAGTTTTAGAAGAGTGAGTCTCTGGGTGGGAGAGGAGAGAAGGGAGAATTGGACTGGGGAGGGGTCAAAGACAACTGTTAAATGTATCTCTGACAATTTTTTCCTTTAAAAAAATCTGAAACTAAATATGGAAAATGTAATATGTTAAATCTGGCCTATGGGTGTTATTCTTACAATTCTTTGAAAGGGTAGTAATGCTCATTCCCCTCCCAGAGGAGAGCCTTGTGCTTGACTGTCCTTAACAGCTCTTCCAGCCTGTGCCTCATGGGGATCGCAGAGACTCCAGGCTGTGCCACCCTGCTCCCAGCCTCGCTGTTTGTCAGTAGTCACCCAGGTACATGGGCCTTTTCCTTGGACGAGGAGGTGCTCTGAGGGAGGTCTCTGTCCTCTGCCTCCCAGGAGCTGCAGCCAACAATAATTTAAGCTCCATGGCAAAGCCTTGGAGAGGAGGAGTGGGAACCCCAGGCTGGGGGAGCCCAAGTGAGAGCCCCAGGGTGGGAGAGTCTGCAGAAGCGCCTGTGGGAGGCTCCTTAAAGCTGACCCAAGATTCGTACCAGAAGTGTGTGCATCCTCACATCTCCCCTTCTTCTGGGTCATTTCAGCAGCCGGAACAGTTAAAAGTGTAACCAAAGCAAGAGATCGGAATGTTTATTTGGGCTGCCTGTACAGATCATTCAGAAAACATCTTTTGAGCTCTTACTGTGTGGCAGGTGCGATCAGAGATACTTAGATTCTGTTCGGCTGAAGGGACTTGGCCTTCTCCTTCCTGGCAGCATTCTGTTTGTTAAGTTTTCAGTCTTTCAGAGAATTAGGATCAATTAGACAAGGGTCAGGCCTCTAAGAATGCAGGTTTCAGGCAGACCTGGCATGAATCCCGGCATCACCCCTTACCAACTTGAACAGGTTGGTTAACTTGTGTACAGTGAAGGTAATCCCTACCCCATCGAGTTACATGGAGCATTAAATGAGGTAGTGCCCACTTAGCCTGCTGCCTGGCATTTCATCATACAGCAAGCTTATGAGGTAGGAGTATGTATTATCACCCAATCTTACATATGCAGAAACTAAGGCAAAGAGTGTCAGAATTTGCCTGACAAAACTAATCTGTGGTGTTAGAAGTCAGGATGGTGGTTTCCTTTGGGGAGGTAGTAAGGGGAGGAGACGTGAGGGGTACTGGGGTACTGGAATGTTCTTAACCTGGGTGGTGGTCACGTGGCTCTGTTTACTTTGCGATCACTCCTTAAACTACATACATATGATTTACACCCTTTGTGTATGTGTTGTCAGTAGAAAAAAGTTTATTTTAAAAAATGTTTTGCTTACGATCACCATCTAATAGTGAGATCTGGGGTTGAAACCCTCTTAGCTGGGACACCACACTGCCTTCCCGATCGCTGTTAGTACCTGTAACACTGCTGCTGGGAAGTTAGGACAGATCAGATATTCGCTCTCAGAATAATCACTTTTGAGCTGGGCACCCAGCTGAGTGAGTCTTTTTTGCTACCACAAAACCCACAGTGGGGCCCTGAGCAGCTGTTCCTGGAGGTTTCCCAAATCTCATGGGCCCTGGCCTGGCAGTGTGCAGGAAAGATCTCCATCCTCGAGGACAGCCATGCTTTACAACCCCTGTCCCCTCATCAGGAGACCGGCCTGGCATGCTGTGCAGTTTCCGCATCCCCGGGGCCTGGTCCTGCGCGTGGTCCCTGAACATCCAGGCAAATAACTGCTTCAGTACAGGTGAGCTGTGGCTGCCTCCCAGGTCCCCAGAGGAGAGGGTTGAACAGGCTCTGGACCCCTTATCCAGCAAGTGACACTTGTCTCTCCACCCCATGTGTCTCTCAGGCTTATCTCGGCGGGTCCTGGTGACCAACGTGGTGACGGGACACCGGCAGTCATTTGGGACCAGCAGTGATGTCTTGGCCCAGCAGTTTGCTGTCCTGGTGGGTTGGATTGGGAAGGGCGTAACGTAAAGCCTCCCAAGGTGAAAGTTCTGCTGCATTGAAATTGGATTCCTCTGTGTGCCGTCGAGTCCTCCTCCCATGTAGAGAAGAGGGCGTCGGAAAGGATTAACGGGTTGCTTCGTGAATATGTCTGCACTGAGTGAAAGGTGGCTGATCCAGAAAGGCCTGGCTGAGTGGCCTTTAAACCCTTCCTGTTTAAGTGAATTGTTAGCAATTCTTGAGTACTTGGATTAGCCAGCAGGACAAGTAATTTTTTAAATTAAATCCCAGTTTATAGCACTTAATAGTTTCATACACTACTTTCAAATTACACCTTATAAAGTTAAAAATCAAAATTGTAGTCATTGCTACATTTCAGAGAATTGCCCCATAGAAAATGCCACCTTTCTTTAAAAGTGTAGAGGAGGGAGCGTGCCGACCTGCTTTTGGCAGCAAGCATGGAGTTCTTGTTCAGGTTTCGTCAGCCGTCTTCCCCCTCTGTTTGGGACCTCACGTCTTGCCTGGGTCTGTCATCCCTCCTCCTCCATACTCACCACCCCAGGTTCCCATCAACGACTTTGGTGGAGACAGCTTCAGAGTAGGGCCTGAGTTGCCAGTGCAGCCAGTGGGGGGGACACAGGGGGTCCAGTTCTCTTACGCTTTCACAAGGAACCCTTCCAACTCGTCTGAGGCTCAAACCCTGACCAACCCACGTCCACCCGAACCTCTGACCAGTAGCTGGGATGGGGAAGGGTGGCAGGAGTTGTGTTCTGGAGGGCACACCCCTCCCAGCTTTAGATGGAGGTACCAAGCAGTCACACTTTCCACAGGCTCCTCTGCTGTTTAATGGCTGTCGTTCTGGGGAGGTCTTTGCCATTGATCTGCGTTGTCGAAATCAGGGCAAGGACTGGAAGGCCACCCGCCTCTTCCACGACTCAGCAGTGACTTCTGTGCAAATCCTCCAAGAAGAGCAATCCCTGATGGCGTCCGACATGGCTGGAACGGTAGGGGTGGCACTGACTTTCTCAAGCCACTGGAGCTAGTGGTCCAGAGTGCTGCCAGGTGGAGGAGCTCTATGGAAGAGACCCTCATGCCAGACAGCAGCAGGGGAGAGGCAGCCAGAGATTAGGCAGGTCTGGTCTGGACAGGGCATCTACTGCCCACTGGGAGCCCAACTGGTCTAGACAGACGTGAAACTGGTTCTGGTCTTTTTGATGAACTCGAGGGCTGAGGAGTTGGAGATTTAGATTTTCCTAATCTGAAGAGCTCTTGGGGTATGACCTTGCCCTCTGGGCCTGGGGTTCATGTGTGTACCTGCTGGACTCCCCGTAACAGCCCCTTGTGCTTCTTCCCACAGATCAAGCTGTGGGACCTGAGGACCACTAAGTGTCTGAGGCAGTACGAAGGTCACGTGAATGAGTATGCCCACCTGCCCCTGCACGTGCATGAGGAAGAAGGAATCGTGGTGGCAGGTAGCTGGAGAGGGGGAGATCCCATCCCATCAAGTACTATCCCTTAGGGCCCCCAGCAGCTTAAACAGCAGTGGGAGAAATTACTCCAAAACAGAACCGAATAAAGGGGATTGTAGACTGTTGGGCAGGGAGACTAGGTGGGACGTAGATAGTAGATATTGCATTACTGGTAATAGATATTAGTAAGCCACAGTTGACACGTCCACCAGGTGGACAGCCCTCTGTCCCCACATCAGTGAGCAAACATCACCTAGGAAACAGGCAAGTCAGGGCAATAAAACAGCAGCTTGGCGGACCTGGGTGTGGCATATAAGTGTTCACCGGGTCAGCGTTCAGTGTGACCCTTATCCTGTCGTGCAGCTGTCCTCTGGAAAACTTGGGCTCCCTGTTCTTTGTGCTTGTATTTCCCCCAGAGGATGCTGAGAAGAGAAATTAAGGTCATTGTAAGGAACTGAATCCTGGACGTTTTAACACCATCCCTGTGAGCCCATGATCTGTATTACAGGAGCAGAGCTGTCCAGCCACTACACCCCTTTGAAAGGAGTTACAAGTGGATCACAGATGATGCTGTTTCTGGGCTATAGAATATTCTGATGGCATGAAAGATCAGTGGCGTTACGTATGAAATAGTAGGCCCTTGGCATTAAGGAACGTGTTCTCAGTCTTCGCGCATCCTCCAATTTGCTAATATTCCTATAGAAAGTACTTACTCCGCATGGAGCTTTTTTGGCTAAGCAGCATCACTTTGTTAGAACTTTCTTAGGCTCATTTACTGCTCTCACCATCACCAGCAGTTAGCTACCTTTGTAAGTCTGTTTTCCACCAGCTTTCCCTCAGAAGGGTTTGTGTGTGCTGCATCATAGAGAAGAGGTCAGCCTTGTTGAGGGGCAGGTATGGGTAGAGGGCCAGCTGTAGTCGTCAGTGAACCACGCGGCCTGAGTTCATCTGCGGTTGATGCGGTACCGACAGTCTAAAGTCACTTTCTGGTCAAGAGCAAGTGTGAACTCCCTGAATGCTGAAGGTCTCTTTCCTCCAGGATCTCTGGTAGCACGTATCATGTGTCTGGGCTGCCCTCACCAATGGTGTTAGGGGTCACATTCCTCAGAACTTTGAGCCCTGACGACTCTAACTGGTCTCATGAACTGAACCGTTGGATGAGAAAGAGCTCTGGGGAGAGCTGTCACCTGGTTTGTCCCCAGGGTGTAATGAAAAGAGATCTTCCTGGTTACTTTTTGTTTCATAAAAAGGAAGTGAGCTTTATGTCATCTAGACCGGTTGGGCTGGGCTCCCTCTTGAATAGCCCTTGACACCAAGAGAAGCAGAATACCCACCTGTTAGCCAGGGTGCCCGCTGAGCCATCCGAGGGGTCACACAGCCAGCCAGTGTGTCTTCTTGCTTTGAATACCTTCAGCCAGTTATGGTTCTAGAGGGTGACCTGTAACTTTGCTTTTCTAAAGTGCATATTATCAGTAGAAGTAATTTCCGTTCGTGAGTTTGTGTTTTGGCTTCCATGGAAGAATCAAGAGAAGCCATGTCCAGAAGTTCCCTCCATTCTCCCACTGACCTACCATGTCTTCCCTCTTTCTTAGTGGGCCAGGACTGCTACACCAGAATCTGGAGCCTCCACGATGGCCACCTGCTCAGAACCATCCCCTCCCCACACCCCACCTCCAAGGCCGACATCCCCAGTGTGGCCTTCTCTGCTCGGCTCGGGGGCTTCCGGGGAGCGCCAGGACTACTCATGGCTGTCCAGCAAGACCTTTACTGTTTCTCCTACTAAAATTCTACAGAGGGCAGCCTGGAGGGATGTGGATTTGACTTAGGGACTAAAGAGTAGCCGTACTTCTGCCACGACTGCTGCTTCCGGTGAGAGCATTGTAAATGGGCGCTCTGCCTACACAGGTCCCATCCGCCTGGCTGCTGGGGAGAAGGTGCTGCGTTTTATGTGGGACATTTCAGCAAAGTTATTTCAGTTAAGTTGTGGGCTCAGAGAGTTTGAAAGTCCTTTTCATAAAAGGTACCTGTTTTCTTGTTGAATTCCTTAGAATAGTTCCTCCACCCCTCCGTTTTTTTTTTAAACAAGAAATACTTCTCTAAGGGCTGAAATTGGCAAAAATGAAAATAATTAAAGCTGCTTCTTTCACCAGAAGTCCTTTCGAGAAGCCTAATGATGAGACTGGGTGAGACTGTTAGGTTAGTCGGTGCCTGAGTCCCAGAAGAACATGCATCTGTACTTGAGAAGCCAGCTGGAAAGGGGGGTGTCATTGCTCTGCATCTCTAGAGGATTTCAGGCAGGAGTTTGGAATCACTGAACTAGCCTTCTCTAACTCATCATCAGTAGCACATCTCTGGGATTCTCCTTTCATCATCATTTGTAGGCACTGGAAGGAAAGATGGACCTTTTTAAACGCTAGCGGTTTTAAACAGGCCTTAGCATGCTGTGGTTGAGCCACCTTCCAGAACATTAGGTACAGCAGCTCCTGTTTCTATCCTGGTGACTTGACTGTCAGGTTCAAGGGCCCTTTCTCAAAGAAAATTGGCTTCGACCTTCTGTAATCTAGGAGAAGCAGTTTGTCAGATGTTTATACAAAGTGTTAAAGAGCCTGTCTTTCTACCAAACAATAAACGGAGAAGAACCATGCCGTGGTGGTGTGTTGCATCTGTTAGTGATTTACAAGATCATGGAGCTTGGCTACTGTAGCAACAGACCAGCTGCAGTAATGTCTACTTAGATCTTAGGTGAGGAAAAGAAAGAAGGGTAGAGACTGCACCAGCTTGAATGGCTTTGCTGGAGAGCTTCCCAGTGCCCCTCCGGATCCACTCAGTGCCCTTCTTCACCTGCTCTGCTCATGCCCCAGGAAGCTGGCCTCTCTGGACAACTTCAGAGGGCCCCCTGGCCCCAGCTGGGTTCAGGCAATGGGATGTACCAGCAGGAAAGAGGGCAGGAGGAGAGTGAGGTGGGATTGTTGGCTCCCTGGCTCCCCTCCTGCTGGGCTGTGGGGGCTGTGACTGGGTTCCTCCACCCAAGGCCACAGCTTCTACTGGAACACAGCTCTCTCTGGGTTCCAGTAAGTTTTGTTTGTCCCTTCACACCTCCAGCTGGTAATTGCACCTCACTGTTGCTAGCCCAGGATGCTTCACCAGTGACACTTCAGCTGTCCCTTGAGTGTTCCATCTGTTTCCTGCCAGAACCCTCATACAACTTAAGGTACAGAGAACCAAATCCAAAATAAGCAAAGGAGACCATCAGATTGGTCATCTGACAGAGGAGCTACATTTTAATGACAAATATTTTTAGTGCTCGTATTTTATAAAGAATTTCCCCATCTTACCTGATTTGATCCTTGTAACAACCCATAAAGAAGAGAGGAGAGTAGTAGTGATTTAAAAATTATTAGCATCATTTTACAGGTAGAAAAGCTGGGCTCAGAGCCACTGACTGACTTGCCGTGGATCATAGACCTGTTAAGTGGAGAGCTGGGACTTGGAACCCGATGACTTCAGATCCCATTTTCTACTTTTCATGCTCTTCCAGTCACTGACATTGCTTGACTTGTGTATCACAGCTGGTGTATGGAGAAATCAGGAAGCAGCTCGGTGCAAGTGGAAACACCCAATGCTAACATTTCACGATCCTTAATCACCCTGTGAGTGAAGTTTTCTGGCACTCACCAATCGTAAGAAGCTCACTAATTACCAAAATTCTCATGTGCTTAATTGTTTGGATTTTGTCCCTGTCTGCACCCCTGGCATACTGACCTGCACATAGGTCCCGGGAAATATCTGTATGACTGAAGGGTCCAGGTGGCCATTGTCACTGCAGGGTCTTTTGGATTAACTTTGGTGACATGCCCCTGCCCAAGAGCACAAACAAGCATGAATGCTGAGCCATGACCCTAATATCCACCCATACCTTTGTCCCCTCAAGTTCTAAGTTACACAATCTACAAGTTCATTCATTACAGCACCTGTAATTTAGCATCGCTGGTATTGCACATCTAACAGAGCTTTCCCCACATTTCTATACTGACTCTTTCAGTGGAGCTGAGTCCATGGGTGGCTGCTTAGTCCAACTTTGATCTCTCCCCAAACAGTGGAGACAATCTGACTACCCGAGAATACCAGGTCAGTGCTGATGTGGGTGACCCTGTTCCCACCTACCTTCCTAAGTTCTCTTATCAACTGGGCCACAGCCCAGGTTTCTTGTTAGGCAAATATAGTTGTCTAAGAATCATTTTAGATTCCCCTTAGGCTTAAAAAAAAGGGAGGAGGAGCTTCCTTCAAAACCTCCCATTTAAACTTAGCAATTTGTTCTTGATCTCTGGTTAGCAGCCAGTGCTCCTGACATTTGGCCTAAGTCGTATGAGACATGGTTAAACTTAGCTGAGAATTTGGTTAAGCATTTTGGTCTGTTTGCTTGTTAACGCAGTGTCCCAAAGATTAGTATGTTACACGGGCTTGAAGCATTTTTCACTTGCGGGTCTGCTAGGGCATTTTGCCCAGTTCCCCCGTGACAAAGGTAGAGAATGGGCAGGTGATGGTGGCAGCAGCACTGAGCTATGATAAACCATTTGCTGAGTGGCCTGGCCTTTGCTTGCCTGTAGCCTTCTCAACAGAGATGAGAGAACAGTGGCACGTACTGCTTATCAACAATGTCCAGATCGACGCCTGCCTCACACTCCATCTTGCTATGTAGCCACCTTAGTATTCACCTGGCCTGACATGCTCTGGAGGGCACTGACAGCATCCTTGGTGTCCCACAACAAGGGTCCCTGGAAGTGTCCTTTGAGACCAAGTTAGTCCTCTCTTACCTGTCAGCCCCAGATCTGTCCTGGTCTAAATACCCTATGTAACCATCTGTGAAAACTACTGCAGGCTGAACTCAGTTTCTTTTCCCATTTCACCCTTTGTATATGTTGCTAAGAGCCCCTGGGCACACTCCTCTCAGTCTGCCTCTGCAGGCCACCCCTGCGTGGCCACTGCCACAGGAACAATCTTTCTGAAAGATCCCTGCATGCAATGGCTTCTTGTGCCTCCGAATAAAATGGCCTTTTGAGAGTTGATCACGAATGCCTCATCCTGTTGCCCTATCTCCACCTCCCACCTGGGGCTGTCAGAACACAAATGCTTCAAGCTCCTCTTTCATCTGGGCCTCTGCCCCTGTGGTCTGTGAAAGCCCAACTGTTAGGTCTCAGCTTCACAGACTCCTCCAGGAAGCTTCGTTTCCCCAGCACTTGCCACAGCTAGTCACTCGGTATGTTGAATGGACAATTTTTGCCAGCATTATTCCCTTTGAATTCTTACAACCCTCTCAAGCAGGTGATGGTTGCTCCAATTTACTGAAAAGGAAAACTGAAAAGGTGATTTGCCCAAGGTCTTGGACCAGCAAGTGGCAGAGCCAGCTGGGTCTCCTGCTCAAGTCCAAGAATCTTTCTATTAGAATGGGATGTTTTCTTTTCCTCTGGAAGATTACAATCTCCTGGGGTTCATTCAGTTGGACCTCATTTTCCCTTTTTTCCTCTTTCCTCAAGACCAGCCGCCTCTGCTCCTGCAGACGACTTCTGGACTGTTGTCCTAGCTTTGCTCTCATCTCCCTGCTCGCTCCTACCACCCACCCACTTGCACTCTTGGCTGCATTTGAATAAAAGCAGCTGCTGCAAGAGCAAAACACCTTCTCTGCAGAGGCCATAATCTGAGCAAAGGCACACAGATACAAACACTGCTGACAGTGCAGGGCGGCCAGAACCCAGGTGACATGGTGACTGGGAAATCCACTTAAGACTCTGAATTGCAATATCTTCTGGACATCGAAGGGAGTTGTCTAGGGATGAAGCTGGAGTCTTGAAGAGAAATCAGCCTAGAGTTAAGGATTTGGGTTTCATCAGTATAGAAGATGGCAGTTGAAACCATGGCAGTAGATGAAATCGCTCAGTATTAGCATCATATTGGTGGACTCTGCCAAAACTCAGAAAGACATGCTGCTGTTGTCTACAAATGGCAGTTCCCAAGATAGTTCTGCTCTTGTAAGCATATTCCTAAATTACAGATTCTCTAACCCCATAAACCTCCATACTATATGATCTTTCGTGCTCATAAGTCTATGAGTTTCCTAGGTACAAAGAAAGAAAAGATTGCACTGGGTGTAATTTAACAGAAAGTAGAACTCAGATTTTGTACAGTAACTAAAACTAACTCCGTCAGTGATGAGGCGAGTTACGGGCTACCATTGTGGGTTCAGTTTTCTTCCCCTGACTGATGGTAGTTCTGAAATTGAACACGCAAATATGGTTGCAAAATTACCGTTAATTAAGAACTGGAAGCTTAGCTCCAATGATACAGGCTAGACCAACTTGCTTAATCCCTAAACCAGTTTCTCTGCTGTTTTTAGTGAAAGAAGGATTACTGTCCTTTACTGTGAGAACCTCTGAGGACAATGGAAACAATGAGATACAGAGCTAAGCCCTCCTGAGACAATAGGAGAAATACCTTGATTTTTTTCTTTTAACTTTCCTCTTAAGGAAAAGATACTGACCTTATCTTATCTGGAAATGCAGAAGAATTCACAACCCAAGAGGGAGAAAGA